TATCTATCTATCTATCTATCTATCTATTTATCTATCTACCGTGTTTCCCCAAAAATAAGACCCTGTCTTATATTTTTATGAACCCCGAAATAAGCACTTGGCCTTATTTTCGGGAAGGTCTTATTATTTTGGGGTGCATGGAGCAAAATGGGGCTCCTTTTGCCATCTTACCTGATTTCCAGCTCTATGTTTAAATATTTCCGGGGAGGGCTTATTTTCGGGGGGAGGCTTATTTTAGCGTATGTGCTCAAAAGCCCAATTGGGCTTATTATCAGGGGATGTCTTATTTTCGGGGAAACAGGGTATCTATCTATCTATCTATCTATCATCTATCTCTCTATCCTGATATGTGTGTGTGTGTGTGTGTGTGTGTGTGTGTGTGTGTGTGTGTGTGTGTGTGTGTGCCTGGTCATTTCCCAATCAAAACTCTGTTGAGCAGGATTTGTTATTTTCCAACAGATATATATATATGTAATATATAAAACAGCTTTTTCCAACAGATATAGATGATATAGATATAGATATAGATATAGATATAGATATAGATAGGTGGAAATGTATGTATATACATATATATATAATATATATCGGTATTTAAAACTTAAATGGAAAGAGAAAATGAGACAATACCTTCCCATTGAAAAATTATAATTAGGAGGATGGTAAACTGATTCTGTTGATTGATGTTTTCTTCTCCAGGCAAACTGGGAAAAACGTATTTTGAAGAGCCTAAACAGCATGTGTATAGAACTTGGTATTCCGTTATCACAGAAGGTACTTTCATTAGCTGCTTTTCCTGTAAACGTAAAGTTTATCCATAATCTCATGTATATTTAGGTGCCTGTCAATATTAGAGTTGATTGCATCCTGTTTCTTTATGCCCTGCAGAGACCGCTGAGTGAGCAAAAAGAACTGTTGAGTAAATGGAATGAAATGGGGACGGATGAACCAGGTATTGCCTTCGTTATGAAAATTAAAATCATACTCCATATGTGCATACCAATGCTGGGTTTCAGAATTTTTTACTAGCGGTTCTGTGGGTGTGGCTTGGTGGGCGTGGCATGGCTTGGTGGGCGTGGCATGGCTTGGTGGGCATGGCAAGGAAGGTTACTGCAAAATCCCCATTTCCTTCTGATCAGCTGGGACTCGGGAGGCAGGGAATAGATGGGGGCGGGGCCAGTCAGAGGTGGTATTTGCTGGTTCTCCAAACTACTCAAAATTTCCACTACAGGTTCTCCAGAACTGGTCAGAATCTGCTGAAACCCACCTCTGATGGAAATGCCACCTGACATGAGCATATTCTGTAATATGTCAAGATTCCCTTCCTTTGCCATATTTGGTTCACACAGTACACCTGTTAATCCAAATTATCCAGATTCAAAGTAGAAAGTATTCTGTTGGCTTCGTATCCCAATTATTATTAGAACTTTGCATGAATCTCCGTGAAGAGTCCGAGCTTTCATGAACCCTTTGGTTGCCAAGTGACTTTCCTTGAAAGGGCCAGCAGCTGTTCATGAACTGGCAAATAAATACGAGAAGAGGAATCCGGCAGAAAACTCCAATGGTTTTGCTATTTGGTAATTCCTACCAAGGAAAGGGTTGGAGGCAGTGGTGGGTTTCAAAAATTTTTATTACCGGTTCTGTGGGTGTGGCTTGGTGGGCGTCCCATGGCTTGGTAGGCGTGGCAGTGGAAGGATACTGTAAAATCTCCATTCCTACCCTACTCCGGGGGAAGGATACTGCAAAATCCCCATTTCCTGGCGAGATCTGGCCATGAATGGTGTGAATGAGTTTTTAATGTTTTTAATTTTTCAATGTTTTTTTATATTGATTTTTTAAAATGTATTGTGAGCCGCCCTGAGTCTTCGGAGACGGGCGGCATATAAATTAAATTAAATTAAATTAAATTTAAATAATTTATTAAATTAATTTATTAAATTAAATAATTAAATTAAATTAAATTAAATTAAATTAATTCCTCCTGATCAGCTGGGACTCAAGAGGCAGAGAATAGATGGGGGTGGGGCCAGTCAGAGGTGGTATTTACCGGTTCTCCGAACTACTCAAAATTTCCGCTACCAGTTCTCCAGAACTGGTCAGAACCTGCTGAAACCCACCTCTGGGTGCACACGCACAAATTTTCTTTAAGAAGAGACTATGCAAAAGAGAGACAGGAAACACCTCCCTACCCAAAAGGTTGGAGGTAGCAAAAGCTTTTCAGAAACCTAAGTTGTGCTTTTCTTGTCTATCTCCTGTTAAGATGCTGTCGGAGGAAATTCCCTTATCAATTTTCCTTACGAATCGGCTGTCCCTTAAAATACAAACTGCTCATTATGGTACCGCAGGCAACAAAAACAAAACCGGAAAAAAATGAGGTTACAATCCATCTATACAGAGTTAACAGATTAGGTGATTGGATACTTGCCTTTCTGAAGTGTTTTGTGGCTGAATTGACAGAACTTAGATTGTGTCTCAAGTCCCTGGGGATGTATTTAGGGAGGACGGTTTTGGTGCTGGTCTTCACTGATGACACATGCACATAAAACATTTCACTGGGTTTATTTATTTATTTAAAAGATTGGTCTGGCCACCCATCTTAAAACAAGTCTCTGACTCGGAACAGCCATAAAATTATAATAACCCTAAGAACTACTGTGTTTCCCCGAAAATAAGACCCTGTCATAAATCCTTTTGAACCCCAGCTGCTCTTTGGGGGCGCATGCGCACCAAAAACCGGAAGACCAGGTGGCTGGTGCACATGTGGGAAACTGGAAGATCATCATCCCGACGCATGCATGCGCACTGGGCGGCTGCTCTTCCGGTTTCCGGTACGTGCGTGTGCGCTCCCATTTCGGCATTCGGTTCAAAATAAGCACTTGGCCTTATTTTCGGGGAGGTCTTATTATTTTGGAGTGCATGGAGGAAACCAGAGGAAATGGCGGGGACCGGCTGCGTATGCGTTTAAATATTTTCAGGGAGGGTTTATTTTCTGGGGAGGGCTTAGTTTAGGGGAAATAGGATATATAACTGTAGGACAGGGGTATCAAACTCAAGGCCCACGAACGAGATCTTGCCCGCAGGGTGCTTAAATCTGGCCTGTGGGGCTGGCCTGGAAATATCAAAGGACTGGCCGGTGGGGCCTCTGCCGGCCAAAAACAGGCTGTGCAGAGGCCCCGTGCGACCCGTTTTCTGCCTCCCGGCCTCCAGCAGCACTCTGCCAGCCAAAAACAAGCCACACAGAGGCCCTGTGAGGCCCCCCCACACCTCGTTTTCGGCCTCCCTGGCCTCCAGCAGCACTCCGCCGAAAATGGGCTTGCAGGAGGCCGTTCAGCCAAAAATGGGGCAGAGGGGGCCTCTTGAGGGCCCCCCATGCCCCGTTTTGGCTGGCAGGGTGCTGCAGGAGGTGTCCATACCATCTCCCTCCCCCTGCTCCCTGCCCTCTTCCCCCCCTCCCCCCGCCAGCCCACAGAGGAGAACTACAATGTTGATCCGGCCCTCGAAGAAATCTAGTTTGACACCCCTACTGTAGAAGGCATGACAGAACCTGAGAGCGGAGTTTAAAAGAAGGATCAGCCTAGAATTCCTACATAGACCCAAGTGGACTAAATCCAACTCCTCTTGAATTCCGTTGTCCCTTATCTAATTCCAAGTAGATACTAACCGTTCATTGAAAAGATTGTGTACATAACAATAAATCAGTTGAATTGGATTTTCATGTGTGAATCTGGTCTTTCAGGTTTGACAACGATAAAAACTGAAAGTCCCTGTATCTTAAATCAACCTCTCAGGATCCCTCAATAATTCTTTGCGGGATCTACCACTATACCTCAGGGCCGAATAAAGAGCCAGGATTTAATGGCCTTCTAGAAGATTTAATGATCTGCAGATCCTATTTCTATCTTTGTTCCATAGTCCACATATCAATAACTTTTTTCCGATTCTGGGCAAGTATTCTGAAATATTCTGTTGTGTTAAGTCATCTTTCAATAGAGTGCACAGATCAATGGTGAAATTCAAATTTTTTTACTACCGTTTCTATGGGTGTGCCTTGGTGGGCGTGGCATGGCTTGGTGGACGTGTCTTGGTGGGCATGGCAGGGAAAGGATACTGCAAAATCCCTATTCCCTCCCCACTCCAGGGGAAGGATATTGCAAAATCTCCATTCCCACCCCACTCTGGGACCAGCCAAAGGTAGTATTTGCTGGTTCTCCGAACTACTCAAAATTTCTGCTACCGGTTCTGCAGAACCTGTCCGAACCTGCTGGATTTCACCCCTGGCACAGATATCTTGATTATTCCAATGTATGTTATCTTTTAATTTTAAACGAGTTAAAATAAACCAGCCTCGATTATTTATTGATATTTTTGTGTATTCTTAGTTTTTCCATTAAAGAAAACTTTCTGTCCTCAATTATTACATTTCTGCTTTCAATTACTGTGCATGAGATTTACTTCTCCGGAAATAATCCTGGGTGTTGTTTTGAACAGATGTTTAGAATGAGGCTGAAATAATAAAATTTGATAATTATTATTACTGAAATGTATAGTCCAAACAGCCTCAAAATATTTAGGGTTGAATAACTTTATATTTCAGATCTGAGTCTCTTCAGGCCAGTTTATGCACCTAAAGATTTTCTTGAGGTAAGTTTTTGCAAAAAAAAAAAAAAAAAAAGAATCGGGTTTTAGTTTTGGATATGCATTTTTTTTATCCAATCAAATCTTGTCGTTCCTGAAAAAGGAACTTTTGAGTCATTCGATTCACAAATGAGCTTTAATGAGAGGGGATCATCTATAGATAATCCTCGACTTAACGACCGCATGTGAGCCCAAAATTTCTGTTGCTAAGCAAGACAGTTAAGTGAGTTTTGCCCCATTTTACAACCTTTCTTGCCACGATTGTTAAGTGAAACGCTGCATTTATTAAATTAGTAACACGGTTGTTAAATGATTCTGGCCTTCCGTTTGACTTTAGTTCTTGGACATGCATAGTCACTTCTGGTCTTCTTGTTAAAGGTGCTGATGAACCTGCGCAATCCAAATTACGACACCAGCGAGGTGTCTAATTTTAGAAATCACTTGGGACTAATTCAGGTCCCACTCAATGTGAAAGATATACCTGAACTGGTAAGCATCCATTATAGCTTCTTTCAAAATAGAGAATAATCATTTAATTTAACACTGTAGGCCTGTGCATTGAACTCGGTGGATTTAACTCCTGAATCGATAGGTATAAAAAATAATTTGTTTTATATGTATTTTTAAAAAATGGTTCCTGATTGCTTATTTGTAGCCTATGACTATCATTAAGTATTGTACCTTATGATTCTTGATGAACGTATCTTTTATTTTATGTACACTGAGAGCGTATGCACGAAAGACAAATTCCTTGTGTGTCCAATCACACTTGGCCAATCAAAAATCCTATTCTATTCTATTCTATTCTATTCTATTCTATTCTATTCTATTCTATTCTATTCTATTCTATTCTATTCTATTCTAATTAGCGGTGTCCAAGATGCAGAAAACCTTTAGACTATTAGAAAATGAATACGATACAAAGGGTGAGGTGAGGTAATTATACCCTTCAGGAAGAAATATTTTTTGCCTCCTGTTGCAGAGGATGAAAAAACGGGGGGCAGGGCTGGGATGAATGGATTAATTCAGGGGTGTCAAACACAAGGCCCGCGGGCCAGATCCAGCCTGCGGGGTGCTTAGATCTGGCCCGTGGGGCCACCCTGGAAATAGAAAAGATCTGATTTTGCCTCTGCCAGCAAAAACTGAGCTCGGGAGGACGGCGACAGCCTTTTGCAGCCCTCTGCCAGTGAAAACAGAACTCTGTGTATGTGTGTGTGTCCTTTTTTTGCTGGCAGAGGGTTGCAGGAGGCCGTTGCTGCCGAAAACGGAGCTCGGGAGCCCGTTTTTGCTGGCAGAGCCCTCAGGCCACAGGCGCCCCCAATACGAGTGACGTCAGGCTGGCCACACCCATCCCGGCCATGCCCCCCCCGGCTCCCCCGAGTTCAAACACAACCCTGATGGAGCCCTCAATGAAATCGAGTTTGACACCCCTGGATTCATGTAAAAAAGTCATGGTTTATATCCTGCATATGAGGCAAAGGTTATCTTTGAATCAAAATTATAAAGTTTTTTTCCCCCCCCGTGCCATCACTCTGCTAAGCAACTCATTCCCACAACATTGTCCAACTATCTAGATAGGCAGTATTGCCATCATTATTCTCATCTTCCCTGTTCACTATCTCTTTATCTTCTCATGATTATAACTTTGTTACAGCTTGTATCATACGATTTATGTTATTTACTTAGTATCCTAGTGTGATTTATGTTGATTGCTTATTTAGCATCGATGACTATCACTAAGTGGTATAGCTAATGTTTTACGATGAATGTATTTTTTTACAACGACTATGATAAATGATCTATCACTATTGTTGCATGTACTCATGAGAGCTTATGCACCGGAGACAAATTCCTTGTGTGTCTAATCACACTTGGCCAATAAAGAATTGTAATTCTAATTCAAATACTGCGTATGAGAATTGCTCAATATTCTTGATACATGAATTTTAAATCCCTACCTGTAAAGGATTATTTTTCGCAAGTGACATTAAAGAAAATTCTAGCCTATAACTGTAACTAAGGGATATGCTGGCGGTTGCTATATTGCTGTGATGGCGAATTTACGACATGCATGCCGGAAGTGGCATGCAGAGCAGTGGTGGGTTCCTCCCGGTTCGGTCCGGTTCGGCCGAGCCGGTAGCCGTGACGATATGATGTCACCGAACCGGTTCTCCCCCCCGCCCTCCCACCCCCCCACCTCCCCACGTTATTCTTACCTTTTATTTGGTCCCACCCCCGATCTATTGCTGCCTCCTGAGTCCCAGCTGATGACTAGAGGGAAAAAAACTGTTTAAACTCTTGCCACGGGGCTTCAAAGGGCCGCCCTACAGCTGATCAGTGTTAAAAGCAAACAAATGAGTCGGGTCGTAAGTGTGAGGATTGGTCGTAAGTGCGGGGACCTTCCAGAAATGACTCTGACCAGCTAGCCACGCCCACCTACTCACATGACCTCCAAGCCACACCCACAAAATAAGCCACGCCCACAGAACCGGTAGTAAATAAAATTAGAACCCACCCCTGACGCAGAGCCATCTCTCCGGGCACATGAGCCATCGCCCATTGCTCTTCTGGGTTCCGGTGGTCTTCACGCGCTCAGGAGCACCGGAAAGAGCAGCCACCCGGTACACATGTGCAAGCTGGGAAGATAATCTTCCACTTTCCAGCACATGCATGCGCACTGGCCAGCTGCTGTTTGGGGGTACATGCACGCCAGAAACTGGAAGACCAGGTGGCCAGTGCACATGTGCGCACCGGAAACCGGAACATCATCTTCCCGGCGCATGCATGCGCACTGCATGGCTGCTTTCCGATTTCCAGTGGGCGTATGCGCACTGGCCACCTAGTCTTCGCGCATGCATGCTCGCCAGAAACCAGAAGACCAGGTGGCCAGTGTGCATGTGCATGCCGGAAACCGGAAGATCATCTTCCCGGCGCGCACATACGCACTGGGCAGCTGCTCTTCCTGTTTCACGTTCTTCCTGTTTCACGCTCTTCCTGTTGCACGCGCTCCCATTTCGGCATTCGGTGCCGAAAAGGTTCGCCAACACTGCTATATTGCAGCCCAGCATCAGCTTCCTGTACAGGTGGCCCTCGACTTACGACCACAATTAAGCCCAAAATTTCTGTGGCTAAGTGAGACATTTGTTAAGTGAACTTTGCCCCATTTTACGACCTTCCTTGCCACTCTTGTTCTTAAGTGAATCACTGCAGTTGTTAAATTCGCAACCTGGTTGTTAAGTGAATCTGGCTTCCCCTTGACTTTGCTCGTCACAAGGTCACAAAAGGGGATCCTGTGACTCCAGGATATTCCGTCATAAATATGGAATATTCAGTTGCCCAAGCGTCTGAATTTTGATCACGTGACTGTATTTATTTATTATTTATTTATTTATTATATTTCTATACCGCCTTTCTCCCGTAGGACTCAAGGCGGTGTACAGTCAAGAAAAATATAGACACACAAACATCATAAAATTGCTAATTAAAATTATTACTTAGTTTGGTCAATTAAATAAAACCCAGAATTAGATAACATTTAAAAAATCATTGTGTGACTGTGACAATGCAACGGTCGTAAGTGTGAAAAACGATTATGTGTCATTTTTTTTTAGTGCTATTGTAACTCTGAATGGTCACTAAATGAACTGTTGTAAGTCAAGGACCATCTATATTGAGTTTTTAACTAAGATGCCGGGATTTTGATCTTCTGAGGGACAGAATTTACTATTACATAGTGTGGGTCTCATGAGCCTTAAGCTTCGTGTTTACAGTTTGCCAATTAAAGCAATATAGTGATATTTAATGTCGATTTCAACATATGGCACATCTTGTCCTCTTGGAAAATGTCTTTATTTTTTTCCCCCCCTCAAGAAGGATTATTTTAGCGAATTAGACCTGAACACTGGTCAGATGGATATTGATGATTCTGCACATGTGCCTTCAGGTGGGTTGTTTCATTTCCAATAAATACAGTTTTTGCTTCTGAAATGGATTCTTGTAAGGTATATTTATAAAAAGAACAGATCCAGTTAGGATTTCCTTTTTTTGGTCGTTATTTATAATGGGGATGAGTAACCAGGCATAAATAAGTGAATTCTGCTGGGTTCTATTTTGCTAGAAATTAGCACATTTTAAACATTGTTTAAATTCCTTTCTTCAAACGTTATACATATTTATTTATACCATGCTTTGTTGGTCCTAATTTATAATAGTAGGCCATAATAGAATAGTTTTCAAACGTAGTATACTTTCCTCTTTTCCGTGGTGGTGGTATTTCCAGTAAATCCTTCAGGACTACTAAGCCCTGATTACCTGGCCATCATTCCCGAATTCAGTTCACTTCTTGTCCCAAAAATGCTTTTCAAAAGGCAACAGGTCTTTCTTTTTCTTTTTTCTTTAAAAACTTTTCACGTCCCAAATGGTGCTTTTTTGAGAAGCAACTGGACTTCCTGGTTTTTCTTTGAAGACGTTTGGCTTCTCAACTTTTCAGTTTGAAGGAGATTCTTGAATGAGAAGCGAAACATTTTCAAAGAAAAAAAAATCAGAAAGTCCAGTTTATTTTATTTATTTTATTGGTTCAATTTATATGCCGCCCTTCTCCGGAGACTCGGGGCGGCTTACAATGCGTTAAGCAATAGCCTTCATACTTTTGTATATACCTGCTTAGTAGGGCTTTCGCCCCCCCCCCAAAGCGGTGTTCTTTTTTATACAAAGTCAGCTTATTGCCCCCACAATCCGAGTCCTCATTTCACCTACCTCCAAAGGATGGAAGGCTGAATCAACCTTGAGCCTGATGAGATTTGAACTTGCAGTAATTGCAGGCAGCTAAGTGCTATTTAACAGCGCTTTAGTCTGCTGCTCCACCAAGGCTCTTCAAGCCAGTTGCCTTTTGAAAAAGCACCTTTGAGAGAACCATGATCTGGATGATTGAGAATCCCCATGGACTTCTTATCCATGTTTTGACAGATGCCTAGAAACTCTTAACGCATAACACAGTCCTTGATGATCTTCACAACAATTTTTTTTAAAATTTTTTTGATTTATATGCCACCCTTCTCCGGAGACTCAGGGCAGCTTACAATGCATTAAGCAATAGCCTTCATACTTTTGTGTATATTTATACAAAGTCAGCTTATTGCCCCCACAAACTGGGTCCTCAATTGATCAATTGATTCACTATAGCAGTAATGGTGAACCTATGGCACGCGTGCCAGTAGTGGCACGCAGAGCCAACTCTCTGGGCACGCCAGCAGTCGCCTGTTGTTCTTCCAGCTGATCTTCATGTATGCAATAGCATTGGAAACCGGAAGAGCAGCTCCCTGGAGCGCATGTGTGAGAACGCCAGAAACCGGAAGCACGCCGGGGAGCCGCTATTCCGGTTTCCGGTGCTCCCTCACATGCGCGCACGCATTCTCATTTTGCCACTCGGTGCCAAAAGGTTCACCAACACTGCACTATAGTATTATTTTCCTGTTTTCTTATCATAACTAATGGGTCTATCTTATCAAATTTATATGCCTGCCCATCTCACAGAAAGTGACTCTGGACAACAACCCAATAAAATAATAAATATAAAATAATAAATATGAAACTATAGTGCATTAAGAGCTTGGGTAACATGCGAATAAAGGCATGCTGCATAAACATAAAAGATTGAATATGGTTTTACTTGGCAAGTTGGGTTCTTGTGCAAGAGATAGCACTCTACTGAAATGTCTCTTAATTATTGTTTAAAAAAAATACTGTGGAAAATAGTAGGATACTTGATAATAGCAAGAAGAAATAACTCTTGTGTTGTTTTAGAAACAAACGCAGTTATTGTGCCATTGGCTTTAATCGTTCAGATATTTTGGACTCTTGTTGATGTACCTAACATCATCTCACTTATCTTTCAACTGATAAAAGGCGGATTTTAATGAGAGCTTATGTTATAGTTAACTAATGTCTGATAATATCCTTTTATTGCCTAATGTTTATCTTATGAGTAAGCCTGCAACGCTTTATTCAGAGGTAAATCCTATTTAATTGGATTTAATGCCAAGTAAGGATGACTGATTTAAGGCAACACTTATTTGGAAAGAATTCCAATTATTGAGAATTAGGCTTTTGACTGACAATGTATAGGTTTACAGTGAAGACAATTGCATCTTTCTTTTCCCTGTTTTGTGCATTTTATAGGAAGGGCTCCTTGCTTACAATGTGCTCAGCAATAGCCTTCATCCTTTTGTATATTTATACAAAGTCAGCTTATTGCCCCCACAAACTGGGTCCTCATTTCACCTACCTTCGAAAGGATGGAAGGCTGAGTCAACCTTGAGCCTGGGGAGATTCGAACCTGCAGTAATTGCAGGCAGCTGGTCTTAATAACCAGCTTAATAACTTAATAATTTTTAATCTATTAAACAGAAATTACACCTTTTTCCTTCACATTTCAGTGTATAAATTGACTAGAGATTTTTTTAAAAAACACAATTAATATAGGACTGCTATTTTCTGTAAAAAAAAACCCAAAAACCTCTGAGAAATATTTGCACGCACGTGATTATGCGTGTTCGTTTGAATCTTTGTACATGCCTGAAACATTACTTTCAAATAAGTAATCCTGATATATAAACTCAAGTATTCTCCTAGAACTAATAGTTTTGTTTTATTCTTATTAACATTTTAGAGCTTTATGAAAATGAGCACGTACGCCTCGGTCAAAAAGGTAAGAGTTGGATACAGTAATCATTTTTAATATTCTGTTTGTTTGTTTTTTTTAAAAAACATACAATTGCCATTGTTTCTATTTTAAGTTATATAAGGAGTTGTAATCACACTGTCCTAGAGATAAGCCGGTTAAAGATTTCTAAATAAGCAAGTTTAGGTTTACACTGCAGTTATAGACATATACCAATTGGGAGATGGGGGGGGGGTGTTCTTTCTCTTAACAACCTTACTTACAAGAGCCTTGATGGTACAGTGGTTTAATGCACCCTGTTATTAACACAGCTGCCTGCAATTTCTGCTGGTTCGAATCTCTCCAAGGCTCAAGGTTGACTCAGCCTTCCATCCTTTCTAAGGTAGGTAAAATGAGGACCCAGTTTGTGGGGGCAATAAGCTGACTTTGTATAAAATATACAAAAGAATGAAGGCTATTGCTTAACGCATTGTAAGCCGCCCTGAGTCTCCGGAGAAGGGCGGCATATAAATCAAATTAAAAAAAAAACAAAAACAAAAAAACTAACCTTCTAACTTAACAACAGTAGTGATTCACTTAACAACGGAGGCAAGAAAGGTAATAAAATGGGGCAATATTCACTTAGTAACTCTTTTGCTCAGCAACAGAAATTTGTATCTCAATTAAGGTCCAATTACAGTCCTGTAATTGATATTAGCTACCTCTTTTGCATTGGCATCCTTCAGTCTCAAGAGACTATGGTATTGTGCTCTGGAAAGAGGTCTTAAAACAGCATCTAGGGTGACTAAAAAGGCCAATTTGAGAGTGGCAATCCCTTCCACACTGAGGGCAGATACATTCTGTCCCCTGCCCAGCTCCCAGATTTCACTGGTTCCTGGACTGCCTTTTTGCCTCAGTCTGCCGAACAAGTGTCTCTTCGAATTGGAGAAGGCCATGCTGCGTCTTTAGCCTCCAAGCTGAACGATCGGAGGTCGTTCCTCTTAGGTTCGCTTTAAGCTACCTCTTAGGTTTGCTTTAATACTCTGAAGCTTTAGGTATTTTGCCTAATTATATTTTATATACATTTCTCGTAGTTCTTATGGAGCAGGACAGCGCAGCTGCCCAACAGTACGTGCGACAAGGCTCTCCAAATTCATTAAGAGCAGAGCTGTGGGCACTGATTCTGAACATTTCAACCCAACCAGAGGTAAGCCTGAAAAGTAGATTGGAAACACAGATGTCTGTTCGCTATTCATGTGTCAGCTAAGTGTACGTTTTGGTTCTAGCATTGAGCATTCTAGGAGTCTTCCTTTGCAAGATCCTACGGGGGCATCTACCTTCATTTAACACTTTTGTTCAAACTTCTGACTTTCTAGCAAAGGTGAAATGTAAAATTTGTTACTACCGGTTCTGTGGGCGTGACTTGGTGGGGGGGTAATGTGACTGGGTGGGCGTGGCCAACTTTCCCCCCCCCTTTTAAAAGCATTTTTTCTACAACCTTAAGAGGTTGCAGAAAAAAGTGCTTTTAGAAGCCTCTGACGATCAGGCAACTCAGCTGGGATCGCGAGAGGCTTTTAAAGGCATTTTTTTTCCTACAATCTCTTCGGCCGAAGAGGTTGCAGAAAAAAGTGCTTTTAGAAGCCTCTGATGATCCCAGCTGAGCCGCGCGATCATCAGAGGCTTTTTTTTTTTTACTTTTAAAAGCATTTTTTCTACAACCTCTTCGGCCAAAAAAATGCATGGGGGGGGGGGGGGGCAGGGATTTTTGCTACCGGTTCTCCAAACTACCTGCCGCCATCGCTACCTGATCGGGCAATCCGGTCCGAACCAGGAGCATTTCACCCCTGCTTTCTAGCACAACATTTTTTTTAATCAGTGGGCTCTCCTTTTATCAATAAATTCTGCTGAAGTTGCAGTATATTCCCAGTTCTCAGAACTGTCTGATCTTCTTCCTCCCATTGAGTGCTTCTCTTTTTGCGGGAATGCCTAGGAAAACATCACCAACCCTTCTTCCCATTGCAGGATGAACTGAATGGCCTAGAGAAAAGCAAAATATGTATAAAATGTTTTATAGATGGCATTTTGCACTGGCAAGATTGGCAAAAATGTTTAAAGACCGATCGGAAAAATCTTGGAAGTGTAATCAAGCATCTGGCACATATTACCCTATGTGGTGGACATGCCCAAAAGCAAGAAAACATTGGACGAAAATACATACATGGCTGGAAAAAAATGATAAAACAACATATAGACCTGAAGCCAGAGATATTTTTGTTGGGCATTCTACCAGAAAAATATGATAAAAAGACTTCATATTTGATCCTGCCTATATTAACTGCAACTAAGAATTGTATTTGCGCAACAATGGAAAAGTGATGAGATCCCGTGTGAGGGGAATGTAATTTAAAAAATATTGGATTGTGCAGAAATGGACAGATTAACACTTGCTGTTAAGGATAAAGAAGAAACTGAATATTTTTTGATAAGGGACGTATTCTATCAATGGCTAGATAACAGAAACAGAAGTTAGAAAGGAGAGATATAAATGGAGAAAATGGTATAGAGGAGAATTGTTAAAAATGAGGATGTTAAATGTTAAGTATTAAGGTTATTATATTACTACGTTGTTATATTATTAATATAATGGTGATGACCTATCAAAGCAAAGATGTATAAATATGACTATTAAGCATAATTGTACTCAGAATACACACTGATGAAAATTTAATGTTATATAAATAAAACAAATAAAACATGGGGGGGGGAAGCATTTTTCCCATAAGTATAGTGTAGGTTAAGGTGGCTCCTCCCTTGAAAGGCATCCAGTTTAAACCTGTCAAAAAGAACAGTTGAATAAGTTTATCAAAAAGTTGTAACCAAAACTTGTTTTTTTACCAGTTGGTTTGGGGCCACGAGGGGGAGGGGTTTCAATGCCCACTACTCGGAGGTGATTAGCGGGAGTAAAAGACCTCATGCCTCTGCTGTTCATCTCTTACTTCTGTTTCTCTTTCTATAGTTTTAAATTTTTTAATTGCCATCATTGTAATTATCTATTTGTCTTTTTTGTAATCTGTGAGTTGCCTTACAGGGGAGATGGGCAGCATGGCAGTTTAATAACTAAATAAATAATCTCCTTCCCCGCATAATTTCATCTCTTTTGCTAATAATATGCCTTGGTGGGTCCCAGTCGATAATTCACAAGCATATTTTATAATGTATCTTACACTCTTCAATACAGGTAGTCCTCGATTTACAACCACAATTCAGCCCAAAATTTCCATTGCTAAGCAGGACAGTTGTTCAGTGAGGTTTACCCCGTTTGATGACCTTTCTCGCCACAGTTGTTAAGTGAATCACTGCAGCTGTTAAGTTAATAATGCGGGAATCTGGTTTCCCTCTTGACTTTGCTTCTCAGACACTGCAACTGTCATAAATACATGCCAGTTGCCAAGCGTTCAAATTTTGATCATGTGACCCTGGAGATACGGCAATGGTCATAAATATGAAAAACTGTCATAAATTACTTTTTTCAGTGCTATTATGATTTTGAACGGTCACTAAACGAATGATTGAGTGGTGCGATGGCCTAGAGGTGGAGCTCTCGCCTCACAATCAGGAGGGCTGTGAGTTCAATCCTAGGTAGAGCCAGATATTTCTCTCTCTGGGCACAATGAGAATGTATCTGCTGAATAAAACTCCTCATTGGCTTCAGGAAGGGCATCCGGCCAGTAAACCCTCCGCTCCATTCAGTTGCCCAGACTCCACCCTGCTAGGGATTATCGGGTCATTAAAAGAAGATGATGATGATGACTAAACGAATGATTGTCATTCAAGGACTGCCTGTACCTTATGAGCATTTCCCACTGCAAAATGCGAACACCCGCATTATATTGTTATAAAGTCAGGGTGGACATTAGGAAAGCCATAATTCTTCTAGACTCTCTGACTGTCTTGGTAGTGCTAGTCTATTTTTCCTCGTTATTTAATCCTACAGTTATTCTGACACTGCTTGTAAAGTAATGGGAGAACTCAAACAAGCTAATCTACAGATTTATGACTGCAGTGCCTTTACAGCCTATAAATCAGTTGTGCAAACATATCTGTAAACGATATGGATCCACGGAATATTTAATTATAGTACCTGTCCACACGTGCTTAGCTCTTGTGATTTGCAGTATGCGAAGTCTTAAACATAAAGGGACGGGGTGGCTCAGCGGCGAAGACGCTGAGCTTGTCGATCAGAAGGTCGGCAGTTCAGTGGTTCGAATCCCTAGTCCTTCCTCTTTTTAGAGAGTCCAGTTAATTTCTAATAATCACAATTTACTGAGAGGTACCTGAAAAGAAGAGGGATGCAGTGGCTAAGACACTGAGCTTGTCGATCGAAAGGTCGGCAGTTCAGCGGTTCGAATCCCTAGCGCCGCCTAACGGGGTGAGCTCCCGTTATTTGTCCCAGCTTCTTGCCAACCTAGCAGTTCGAAAGCACGTAAAAAAAAATGCAAGTAGAAAAATAGGGACCACCTTTGGTGGGAAGGTAACAGCGTTCCGTGCGCCTTTGGCGTTTAGTCATGCTGGCCACATGACCTCAGAGATGTCTTCAGACAGCGCTGGTTTTTCGGGTTTGAAACCGAGATGAGCACCGCCCCCTAGAGTCGGGAACGACTAGCACATATGTACGAGGGGAACCTTTATCTTTACCTTTACCTTGGAAAGCCTGGTCAATAGGAAAAGCTTAATGCATTGTAAGCTGTCCTGAGACTCCGGAGAAGGGCGGCACATAAATCAAATTAAAAAAAAAAAAAAAAAAGCAATCTGCGTTACGAAATAGGAAACACGCATAGTATTGTTATGAAATAGGAAACATTGATATTATTCAACTATGTTTGTGTTTATCCACTTCAGCACTGTATTTAGTAGCAGCTTTTAAAAGCTGTAGAATAATTAGGAACATTAATTTCCTGGCAGTCGTTTTACTGTCGTACCATTCTGCTCAAAGGCCTCCAGCATTTCTCTTAATTAAGGAACTAGTTTAAATCAATTTCTGGGAGCGGATAGGATTTATTTTTCAGAAACTTCAAGAAGTCATTGCAACTTGACTTTGAAAATAAAGTGCATAAGTAGCAGAACAGAAGGAGTAATCCGGAAATTGTTTCGCCTTCGCAGATTGACTTTTGATTGTAGTGCAAATTATCAGTTGGATCCCTCGTTACTTTGCCACAAATGGGTGAATTTTATTCTGGGACAGGATGTTGATCCTGCAGCAGAAGAGGACCATGTTCTAGAAATGGCTACAATCCTTAGAAATCTACTTTAAAGGGTTAGGGGATTGCCTGGAACAGTGAAAGCTACTACACTAAAGAGATTATATGAGTGTAAATTGAAAGTGTAAATCCAACCTATTGTTAGTCTTAATATACTTTTTAAAAAAGTTTTGAACTTCTTTTATTTGTATTATTGGAATGGAATGGAATGGAATTGAAAGGGAGTAGAGTAGAGTAGAGTAGAGTAGAGTAGAGTAGAGTAGAGTTGAGTTGAGTTGAGTTGAGTTGAGTTGAGTTGAGTTGAGTAGAATAGAATTCTTTATTAGCCAAGTGTGTTTGAACACACAAGGAAATTGTCTCTGGCATAAGCTCACAGTGTACATATCAACAGCAAGTAATAGGTCATATGTCATAAATCATAGTTGCAATCATAAATCATATGTTACAAACAACAATTGATAAACCATAAGAAACCAATGTCTATGGAGATTCTCAGTCATCCAGATCATGGTTGTCCTAGAGATGTTTTTTCTTCATCGAGAACTGAAGAAGCAGGTAACACACGTGTGTGTGTGTGTGTGTGTGTGTGTGTGTGTGTGTGTGGTCAGAGACAAGGAGATCTGGATACTGTGTCTGGGTGTCTAAGCTTGGCTCCTTAAACCCTGATCAAATCTGGGCCAAAGCAGACAAGCCTGCTTTGTCCCAAGGGTGAATCCGAATGCTCATTCCTGGAAAAAACATCGGAATAAATAGACTATTAATGTAACCATCACAGCTTTCCCTTTTGAATTGAACCCCCAGAGTATTTGATATGCAAATACGGAGAGTAAATATAAACACATTCTAAGTTCCTTTTGGAGATGGTCCCCAGAAAAAGGAGAAAACTTTGGAATTGCCCTAGCCTTCCATTTCTTATTCCTTCTTATGCGGGTTTTCTTTTTAAGCTTCT